CTTAACCACGGGGGGCAGAGGTTGCAGTGAGTCAAAATCACGCCATTGCACTCCACCCTGGGCGACAGAGTGAGACTTCTCAAAAACAAATTAATTCCTTAAGACATACAGGTCAGTGTGCAGGAAGAGGGTTGCTTAAAAAGAAATTTAAAACTTAAAAAAAAATGAATTAATTGGCCGATTTCGGTGGTTCAGTTTGTAATCTCAGCACTTTGGGAGGCCGAGGCGGGTAGATGACCTTAGGTCAGGAGTTCAGGACCAGCCTGGGCAACATAGTGAAACGCCGTCTCTATTAAAAATGCGAAAATTAGCAGGGCACGGTAGCGCGTGCCTGTAATCCCAGCTACTAGGGAGGCTGAGGCAGGAGAATCGCTTCAGCCAGGGAGGCAGAGGTTGAACTGAGCTGATATTGCGCCACTACACTCCAGCCTGGGCGACAGCGAGACTTCGTCTCAAAAAATAAATAAATAAAAATAAAATAAAATGTTTAAAAAAAACAGGCACTTTCTGGATACTTTGAAAGGAAATGATAGATTTTTGTTCCATTAACATTGTATATGCATCGCCTTGGAACTATTAGCATATCAATTAAAAACATGAATAGTAGTAATAGTCCCCAAATTCCTTTAAATGTATGTCGCGGCCGGGAACAATTGCTCATTCCTGTAATCCCAGCATTTTGGGAGGTGGAGGCGGGCGGATCACCTGAGGTTAGGAGTTCGAGACCACCCTGACCAACACGGTGAAACTCCATCTTTACTAAACATACAAAAATTCACTGGGCGTGGTGGCAGGCACCTGTAATCCTGTAATCGCAGCTACTTGGGAGGCTGAGGCAGGAGAATCACTTGAACCCGGGAAGTGGAGGTTACAGTAAGCCGAGATCACGACACTGCACTCCAGTCTGGGGGGGAGAGTGAGACTATCTCAAAAAAAAAAAAAAATTAGTTAAAATAAGTGTGTATTGGGCCAATTAAAATTTTTGAATCACGTTATCTTTAGTAATAGACAAAACAGCTTCTCTCCAGTTACTCAGAGAACTGCAAATTCCAAACTCCAAAAATACTAGGACATCCTTTGGGAACTGATTTACAATAATGGAAAAATGTGCAAATTAATTGTCCTAGAGGGATGTATTATTATGTACACAATATGATCTGACCCTGAAAAACAATGTATTTAGGGAAATACACTAAAATGAGTAATTATGTTTTGCTGAAGAGATTTTTCTTTCTGCTTGTTTATATTTTAGATGTCTCTCTTGTAAATAGCATATAAATCGGGCTTAAAAAATAGTATATACAATATAATATATAATGATCAAAATTGAGGCATGAAATTGAATTAAGTGATATTCAGTCTTTGAAACATTCATGATTTATATTCATGCAATTACTCCTATCTTTGGGTTTAAAACTCTTATTTTTGTCTATTTGTCTCAGCCATTTTATGTTTTTCTCTACTTTCTTTTTTTTTTTTTTTTTTTT